CCACCTTCAGGGGGACACACTCAAAACCAGAAGATTACGGTACGGTGCATTTTTTTTGTTGAATTCCAGAGTCAGATAAGCAAATGGTGAAAACAGAATAACGGCTTTCCTCGGGTGAATGTGCTTGCTCCATCAATGTTTAGCATTTTCATAAATACCAGCCACTGCCAGAAGTGACAGAGAGTTACATAAATGCTGACGATAGTGCCATCACTGCTTAAGGTGGGAGCTTTGAAATGACTGAATAGAAGCCATCCGAAGCTTTAGGTCCTCTTATTGCCTATTACAGGGAAAACCATCTGATTCCTAATCCATCTAAAATGTAGACATGTGCTTTTTATCTTAGGAACAGACAAGCATCTTGAGCTGAGCTCCAAGGATGACCTGGGAAGGAATCCCACTGGAGCATTGCAGCACACCAAAATATCTGGGAGACACTCTGGACCATGCTCTGAATATCAAGCAAAAAGTCGGTGCTAGAAATAATATCGTACAAAAGTTGATTGGCACAACCTGGGGATCACACCCAAATATAGTGAAGACATCTGACCTTGCACTTTGCTAATCTGTTGCTGAATACACATGCCCAGTGTGTAACACATTGCACCACGTTAAAACAGGGGATGTGGCTCTTAATGAGACATGCTGCATTATCACAGGATGTCTATGGCCCACACTGCTGGAGAAATTATACTGTTTAGCTAGTATTACACCACCTGACATCCGTCTGAAAGTAGCAGCTAATAATGAAAGGACCAAGGCAGTGACATCCCCAACCCATCTTCTGTTCGGATATCAGCCAGCATGCCAACGCCTTAAATCAAGAAACAGCTTCCCAAGATCTACAGAGATACTCGCAGGAACACCTCAGCAAGTGAGAATCCAAAAGTGAAGGTTAAAACCCAGCCCCTTAATCAGTGGCTGAGATCAGATGAGAAACTCCCTCCTAGACACACAGGAGATTTGGTGACCTGGAAGGCGCTGAACAGGCTGCACTCTGACACCATGAGATGCAGAGCTAATCTTAAAAAATGGGGCTACAAAGAGGAGTCCACAACATGTGAGTGTGGAGAAGAACAAACCACACACCACCCACTACAATGCAACCCTACCACATACATAATATAGAACCTTCTCACAGCGACACCAGAGGCACTCCAAGTGACCAGCTTCAGATCAAAGGACATTTGGCATAAAGCCAAGTTTTTAAAACTTTGTGTGTTTAAAGTACTTTCAACTCACTTCTGACATGATAAAAAAGCACAAAACTAAAAACTTAAATTTAAAATTTAGAGCAGGGTGAGTAGTTATGAAAGTCAAGTTTTGCTCCCAGTCACCTGCAGCACTACTTGAGTTTTTTGGCTAGAAATTGGCTGAAAATGCAAATTGAAACTGATAAGGAGTGCTGACGGGGATCACACTCCCCCTGAAGACACGGGTTTGCAGTTTGGGGGTTATCCTGGATTCAGCACTGAACCTGGAGGCACAGGTGTTGGAGGTAGCCAGGAGGGCCTTTGCACAATTAAACTTGTGGGCCAACTGCCCCTGTTCCTTGGGAAGACAGATCTGGCCATGGTGGTAGATGCCTTAGTAATATCCCATCTGGATTACTGTAATGCACTCTATGTGGAGCTGCCTCTGAAAAGTGCTCGGAAACTTCAGTTGCTCCAAAGAACTGCAGCCAGGTTGCTAAGGCTGGCTGCAGGGAGCTAACACCCCACTGCTCCCCCCCCCCCCACCAATTGAAGCAGCTCAACTGGCTGCCAGTCTGTTTCTGAGCACAATTAAAAGTGCTAGTTATGACCTTTAAAGTCGGTTCAGGTCCAGRCTATTTAGATGACCGCATCCCCTTGTACAAAYCTGCCCAAGCCCTGAGATCTTCAGGAGAGGCCCTTCTCTCATTCCTATCTCCATCTCAAGCTCGGTTAGTGGGAACTAGAGAGCGGGCGTTTTCTCTCGGTGGCTGCCCTGCAACTCATGAACTTCCTGCCCAGGAAAGCCAGAATAGCCCCCTTCCTGATGTCCTTCTGGCGACACTCTACAGCTGTTGTTTTATATGCTTTTATGGTTTTAACCTGAATTGTCTTTAATATTAATGATATTTAATACTGTCTTAATATTTGTATATTTTAAGTTGTATTGTAATGTTTTTAATTGTGAGCCACTTTGAGTTTCCGTATGGAGAGAAGAAGCGGGACATAAATAAACATAAATAAATATTTCCAATTTTTACTTGAAATTATTTTGTGGGGCTACATTTTGGGCAGGAATATTAGAAGGAAATGCTGTTTGGGGGCATATGAGGCTATGCATTTTTATTTAATAAAGAATAGGACCAGGGTCATTCATTCAATTGTTGAATGGTTAGCTGACACAAATCCAATTGATTCAACAGGTCTCCTCTAGTCAAGACTAAAAGGATTTGGGTAATTGTGTGCAGTTTAATGTTCCTCCAGATTTTTTATAGTTTTTTAAATATATATATATTTCTGCTAATAGGACAATTTGTACCTTAAGGATCAACCAGTTGTGATGAAATTATCACTGCCAAGTTCACTGCCTCTTGTATTACCCCTTTCACAAGTGTAAGATACTGCCTGCTTCTCCCTTTACCAAGAAAAAAGACGAAACAAGTGTTGGATATTAATAATATTATTAATAAAAACAATAAGATATACTGCCTTTTCTTGTAAGAAATGGAGGGTATATTAATGGGTAACTAATGGTGTAATATTAAAACAAGTAACCTCAATCTGTTGATCTCTACAGTCTCTTATTTTAATACTTCCTAGAGACTACATAATCCAGGCAGCTGACATCTGCCAAAAACAAATCAGAGGGGAGATGGCAACATAATCCATGTATTTACTACACAGTGATAAGTAGGAAGAACAGAGAGAGAGAGAGAGGAGAGTGCTTTTACTGAACTACATAACTTCACATGGCAGGAAGAGAAAAAAACATTTGAATGCTTCTGGTTATGACAATTCCATGTTCAGATAATACTGGCATGTCAGGGAGGAATCACATTTAACTGCTTTGCATTTGCACAATAATCTGCAGATCTCCTATTGACAAAAATATATAGAACCCCCCCCCCCCAATGCTCACCCCCAAATACAACATGTTGGTCATGTTGCCTGTGTGTGCCAAGTTTGGTCCAGATCACTTGTCAGTGAAGTGCTCTCTTGAAGCTGGAGCTGTCTTGGAAATTTGTAGCCCACAAACATACATGCACTTTACTGGTGGTTCTTTAGCAAAAAGAGTGGCATAGACATATTACTAGTCAATAAATTCATTATAAACATTTTGAAATCTGAAGTTTCTAAGTGCTTTCCAAAAGCGGATCAATGCAGAACCCATTAGAGTTGCCTAACCAAATTTGTTGTTGTTCATGTAACAGAAAAGATGCATTCATTATTTCCACAAATTGATTTTGACATGACATTTGGGTTCATTCTGGCAGTGTTTGTAAAAGCATTAAAACTGCAACAAAAGGAATACGATACTTCTTTTAATCTAATGGACTACTCCAAAAGAGTAGTGGGTAATGTGTTACTTTAAAAATACAGATGATCACATAATATTGCAAAAATGAACCTCTCTGTTGTGACCTTGACAGCAAACCTAATTGTATCATTCTCCCACAGTAAACAATATCTGCTCTAGTGCTGTGCTATTTATGTGCAGGAATTTAAAAAAATATTTTATTGGCTGTTATTTTTGTACTATAAACTTCTTGGAGATTTCATTACCTCAACTGGCATAATCTAAATAAATAAGTGCACTTAAGGCAGTGGACATGCTTACTTTAACCTCACAACAACCATGAGATGTAATTCAGACTGTGTGCATGATCATCAACAAGAGAGGAAGGAAGTGAAAGCTTATTTCAAGGTGAACAATTGAATCTGTTTTTCCCAAATCCCAGTTCCGAACCAGAAAATAACACCCTCTTACTTACTGCCAGGTAAGTGTGCATAGAGGATTACAACCTTTCGATGCTTTCATTTGATTAGGAGCATGTGTATATAGTTCGTAATATAAAGTTCAGCTGGCAAACATTTTTTAAATTTCTATTCTTTCCTTGACTCTTATATGTTTCAATTGAATTTCTGCTCTACTAATGTAGTTTCCCAAGCCATTCAGAATTCTGTATAAGTAAACAGGAATTCTCTTTTTATCATATTCTCTCTTATTGTCTCTCACACAAACAGCTAAAATAGAAGACACATGGAGCCTGCAAATATAGGGGGAGCAATTAGGAAGCAAAACCCCTTAGATCAGTCAAGGTCCTCAACAAAGGCTGCATACAGACTTGTCTAGGCCGGGACCTACCCCTTCCCCCTTCCACATGTCTTGTGCCAACTGCCCCAAATGCAAGCTAGTGCATCACTTGGTAATACATGTGGTAACCCATGTGGGGCTGACCCATCTTTCTGTTAGCTATATGTCTCCCTTCATCCTCCCCCACCTCCTCCTTCTCTTTTCTAAGCTCTACTACCCAATTGCCTGCTTTTTCTAGTCTGAACCTTGTAAGGAAACTCAGACATTTAAAAACATACTCTTAGACAGCTCCTCCCCCCCCCCCACACAAAATAAGATAACTCCAGGAAAAGAAAAGGTGCATGGCAATCCTAATATGCACAAATGCACCAGTTTAGCAATAGAAGTGGTGAAGAACAGCAGTTTAACCAGTGTTAGGTTGACATTTGAATTACAGACATGGAAAAGGCAAATAAACTGTCATGTGTAGAAAATGTGTTTCTTCCTATTATGTATTCCTCTTTAACAGGACAGAACTGTACTCCAAAATGTAGCCTAAGACTATGAAGACATGCACAACCTAAGAATTTGAGGGGAAAAATTCAATAAAATATAGAAAAATGTAATAATGTGGCTAGCAATCACATACTCATCATTTGAGTTCTCACGAACAGACTTTCAGCAATGTAAGCATCAATGAGGGGAATGCAAAATAAGGGTGAAAGAAACATTACTTGATTTTGCTGAAGACAATGTCAACATCTGTCAGGGTCACATTCTTGCCGTCGATCACGTGGCAGTCCTTGCACAGCTTGGACCAGTTTTTCCCATGCATCTCTTTTCCTGTAGCCCTTGTGTCTCCATGGATGGCAAATTTCCGAAAAGCCTCTTCAAGAGCACTTAGCTCAGCCCCACTGACTCCTTCATGGGAACTGTTCGAGTCACAGGATAACCTTTTGGCTGATTTTTCTTTTGCAGAGTCTGCAGGAGACTTTGGAGGTGTTCTGTTCATTTGCTTAGAAGACTTAGTCGCATTGTCAGCCATTGTGCTGAAAGGAAAAATTGGGAGGAAGCAGTTGAAACTTTGTAGGCCTCTGCTTGCATTTAAAAATAATATTTAGGCTGTATTTATAAATATAATTACAAAAATGCAACATTTCTTTTTTGTTACGCAGTACCTAGAATTGAACATCACTCTTTCTCACACAGATGTTCAACATCATGCAATCGTTTGGCCTAAATGGATAAGGCTTGGCCTACATATTCAGACTGTATGTGACGAACAGAGTACAGGTTGATTCTCCCATAAATGGAAATCCAAAATACTATAAAAACAAAAAAAAAATTGCCACCAGTCACCTTGAGTGAGAGGGAGCTAGTCACACATCTAGTGTTCTCTGAATTATAGCTCACTGAGTCCTGGTGGAAGAAAGAGAGGAAGGGGAAGTGGGGAGGACTCAGTTTACATAAGGCTCTTGTAAGAAGCAGATGTCATACATGCTTCTGTGCTCACCTTTTGCCTGCATGCAGTGGAGTGGACAGCCTAGAAATTGCTGTGAGGGCAAGCATGAAGCAACCCTCTTGGCCAGCCCAGAAAGAATGAAAAAGACTAGTGGCAAAGGGCCTCTTTTCCCCATCAGAGCTCCTTGAGGGACAACTCAATGGGTGTGACATTTTCCATTATTCACTATATATATATGCAAATACAAGTGTTTCAAAATCATTTTTTCCAAAATTTGAAAAACACGTGGTCCCAAGCATTTCAGTTAAGGTAGATTCAACCTGTACTTTCCTCCATGATACAAGCTCCTATCAAAGAAAACTGGAATAGCAAAATGACTGTAGCAGCCTCATGCGTACTAAAGGGGAACTGCAAAAGATTGAGAGGGGGTGGTGAGTACCACCCATAGAAGTAAGAATGGCACTTACTGAAGCTGCCAAAGCAGCCATCCAAAACTGCAAGATCAGTTTAAACCCAAAAGCAAAATGAAATTACTCACGTACACATCTACGCAACCTAAGATTACCGACCGTGAACTTCTAGTCAATATATAGTCTTAAGCTATAAAATGGTTTCTAGTCAATCTTTCCATGTGTAAACTATACTGCGAAATATTTATGCTAAATATGACAAATAAAGAAGTGGCCTTGGTAAAGCTTCCATATTTGGATGGTCACAGACAATTCTCAATCAACAAGGGTCACACTATTTCTAGGTTAAGTTCTGCTCCTTTCCCAAAAGAAGGAATATTACCACACTTATCCTTATAACCTCTAGCCTTTATTGTGATAAAATGTGTGTACCACTAAAGATGATTTGAAAACTGCAGCTAAATAAAGATCACCAACCAGTTCTGTAGTATGTGCACTGTCTAACTATTGCCTATAAACTTCTGGCCACAATTCAACACCTTAATGCTTGTTTTTAGTTTACCTTTAATGTCACTAAACATTTCTTGAAGTCAATCACCTTCATTAAAGCTGCCTACCGTTAATTTCATAGCCTCCAACTAACATACCATAAAGATGACTGATCAGACCCTGGTCTGAATGCCGTTGTGGCATGAAGTAAGAAGAAGGTGCAGGGTCTTTTGCCTCCATTGTTTGTAGAGGGTAGAACAACCTCCTTGGTGGCATGTTAGAGGAATGTTCTTGCATCTTTGCCCCCATAATTGTCAACGTAAGGGGCTGCTGATTTAGCTTACAAATTGTTGTGATTCTTATCTTGTAGTTGCTGCTACTGTTATAAGTAGTCTTTTGGTAAGTATCTTTAAATTCTTGTTCTAACATATGTTACATTGTGTTTTATGAAAATTACTTTCAGGGTGGAAAATCTACATATAAAATGATTGAGATAAATGAAACCAAGTCAAGATACTTTGGCTATAGTAGATAAATATTCCCTGCAATTCCCAAGATAACCTGTAGACTCTAATGCCAAGTATATCTGTAACATAAAAAGGGGGAGGAGAGAGTTTAAATGCAACCATAAGCCAATGTCTGGGGAAGTCAAGCCAAATTGTTAAGGACACTCATCAACTGTAATCCAGAAGATCTTAGGGAGCAAGCTACAACCTACGAAAGGGGTGAGAATTGTGTCCCCATCCAGATATATTGGCCACAGTTCTCTGTATTGCTTACCACTGGCTAAGCTGGCTAGGGATACATCATAAAACATCTGAACGGCTGCATTATTTCTATCCCTCCCCTGTGATGTAAAATGGTTTCTATGGCTACTCTCTTCTCTTGTCACTTCAATCCTTTGTCTTAGGCTGAAGGGTGCATATAGTGAATCCTTGCAAGAGTTCTGACAAATCTAAGATGTGAAGATGTTATTCCTGTTTTGTGCCTTCAAACTGACCTTCATCTACAGCAACACTACCCCATGCTCTCCTTGACAAGATTTATTCAGAAGAAGTTTGCCATTGCCTTCCTTATTAGAGGCTGAGAAAGGTCACCAGTGGACTTCTATGGGGATTCAAAGGCTGGTGTCCCAGAGTCCTAATCCAATGCTCAACCCACTAAGACCGCACTGACTGTCTGTGAGGGACTCTTTCCTGATAGTGTTATATTGTATATTGTTTGTCCTCTGCTTTTTAACATCTTGCTTCGCTAATTTCCCCTTTTCTCACAGTTCTAAGGATAAGAGTTATGATACCCATCATGACAAAGAATACTTAATAATTGTAATCTCACAAAACACATATATTAAATCCACGAAGTATTTATTTCATAATAAATATGTCACTTTCTACAAAGCGTCAATGTTAGTTATTTGTAGCATGATGGAGCGTTTGTCTACTGATAATGTGCCAGAAGGGTTTTCAACTTGTGGGGCAAGCTGTGGAGCATAAGATTCCAGAGTGGATTTTTTTTTATAGTAAGCAGACCCTTTGCTTGATAACTTAGATAAGCAACCCCTTATAGTCTAGGACCCAAGAGGCAACCATAGTCCACCCAGACTTGGCAATGAGAGAGGGAGATATGAACAAGCAGTATTCAAGTCTCCTTTTTTCCAGGGCATATTGAAGGTTGGAGGAAATGTGGCCTGTTTAAGTCCCCAAATGCTGCTCCTGGGGGCCTCCAGAAGCCAAAGCAAGACAGACAAACCAAAATCCATGCACATTTCTTGCTGATTATGCCCCCAGCTCAAGGGAGAATTGGACTCACAGGGCACACTCTATACATCCTTGCCCTTCTTACATGTAATCTTCACTCAACAATAGTAAACAGGTAAGTGACCATCAACCAAGCTTGGGAATGAGGCTGGTCCACTACTCAACAGAACAAGGAGACAGTGCCCTTGATCCTAATCACATTTGCAACAGAGCTCGAGTCATCAAACACAGTGGAACTTACTTCTGAGTAAATATGCTTAGGATTACCTTGTGAATATCCTGAAATCCTTTTTGTTCTACATACATTCCCAAAACAATTGCCTATGTACACTAGAGCAGCACTATAATCTTTAGGAAAACCACTGACATACATTTAGCCGCTATAATAATTAGGAATCAGCTATATAAGGGTAAGCAAAGCATCAGCCAACAGCTCATAAAAAGAAAAGAACTAGACACCTAGATTACACTAGAAATGAAAAGAAAACATTATCTGTGATGACCATGCCGTCTTTCCTCTTCTAAGCATGAAATCCTTCTATGCAACCATTGCCAATAAACCCTGGAGCTATTTCATTGTCTTAATGAAGCCTTCTACTATGAATAAAGGTAGAATGCATTTCTATAGTATCTTGAACCAAGCAGTACGTTTTGTCCACAACTCTGATTTACCTGATGTGTATACATTAATTAACTGCTCTTTTTTTCCAACTAGCTACCGAGAGACTAATCCAACCCATCTCTGTGTATTAATAATGATGTGCTGTGGCTGACCATGTTCATTATTTCTGTTCAATACATTTCCACTGCTAAATTTCCCATCTACTAACTAGGAATCAAGGCTTGGAGCTCCTGAGCTTGAAACTGGAGAATTTCCTGGTTCTTAGTTTTGTAAAACTCAAACCACCACTTATTGGAAACTGAAAAAGGAAATTTCCTCCAAAAATGTGGAAAGATTGAGAAATGCTCAGAAATTTCTCAGGCTGTAGGGTTTCTGTACTTCACTGGTTGTGACAAGATAGCTGAGAGATATATGGTAGTGTTCATGGCTTTGACACTCTCATGCCACTCTAGTGCATCACAACTACCTCAGACTAAACCCCATGACCTGTTACTTTGGGTCTTTCCAGTGCTGCTGTCTGCTCAGTCCAAAAAGTACATGAGATTTTGTTTTATCTCTTGCTGTCAAAATAACCATGCTTCCAGACACTTAGCAGGGAGTAGAACTAGAAAACTTAGGAGGTAAAAGAAATGAAGTTAGTCTGGGGGAGCAGGGAGAAGACCACACATATTTTACATCACGTAGAAAGGGAAACCCTGGAATCCTGCAGCACACACTTGAACAAACTTCTCAGAACTCTTCAATACCCCTGTGAAGGAGGGATTAAAAAAGAGCCTGCCAAAGGACAAATGAGGATTTGGCACAGTGCTAGAGTGCTCTACGTTGCTTCTCAGGCTGCTGACCTCAGGGAATCTGAGCTGGAGAGCGTTCCCTCTCTGTCTGGATATAGGTGTACCTGTGCAGAGCCTGGCCTCCTGTCACCTCCATGATCAGGGAACAACAGCTCCACTGACAAGCAATGGTGATGTTATATGTCCTATGCTTGCTAGAGGGTTACCATCTCCGGAACAGAAAGTAAGAAATTTGATCTTTACACCTGCTCCACATACAGTAGCAAACCTAATTTTGCCTCATGACATTTTGTGGGCAGGTTTCCCAATGATTGCATGAGACACACATTCACAAACTAATGCTCAAATTAAAGAAGAAAAGGTAGGGCTCTGAACAAACTCCACAAAACTTCACTTTGTTTTCCTTCCCAGGTTTAGTCAAATCCATTCTTTTTTTTTACCATTTTAAAGAGCTGGAGAACCGTTAATCTAATCATGCAGGAAGCTAGGCTCTATCTGGCATTTCCAAAATGCCAACA